TGAGTAAAAAATGATGTTTTTACATTATTTCTACTGATCCATGAAGTTTATCCTTAACAGTAATTTAAAGTTGTTGGATTCATTATCAATGTAAAAAAGAAATGTTAAAGTTTTATCTTGGTTTTCAAATATTGTTGAATTTATCCAAAGCACAATAAAAACATAAAATGATAAAGTGAAAAGTAAAAGTTTTGGTGTATTTGACAACAACACCCCTCTGACCAAAATCACTAATGAACTGCAGTTTGTCTTTTGAGACAAAGTTTTTGTTGAAGACATTTTGTTTGATTAATTTATTGCTTTGATAAAATGTATATTTGAAACTAAAGACAATAAATAAAGCCATAGATGATTTGGATGTTTCTATATTTATTTTCCAGATCCTCATCCAGCAGCTTCTCTCTCAGTGAATCCTGACAGAGTTCAACACTTCAGATCTGAATCTGTGACTCTGAACTGTGAGGGAAACTCTGCTGAGTGGAGAGTGAAGAGGTTTACAGAAAGAGGAGATCTGTTAGACTGCTCCTACTGGGGGGAAATGAATGAATCTACATGTATCGACATCTTCCTGCTTCATAGTGGAGTTTACTGGTGTGAGTCTGGATCAGGAGAGTTCAGCAACGCAGTGAACATCACTGTACCTGGTGGGTTATGATTTATAAACTTTTTCTTTCAGATTCTTATCTATCCATTTCATATTTATACAGTGCAGAATGTTTCTTATATCTTCATCATTGTAAAACACAATATTTATGAATTACTAATTTTTCACTCCAACAAAAATACAATTTAACTTTTAGAAAAGTAAGAATCATAACATAAAATCAAATGATGATTTTGATGATTGCAACATATGGATTCTTTCTAAAACTGGAGGTTCTGTGTTTTACTTCATGACGGTGTGTAAATGATTATTTATAAGTCACTTTTTAAACATCCACTACAAATAATTTGTCTGAAATCAAAATATATTCTGATTTTTGTAAACGTAAAATATTTTCGTTAATGACATACAGCTCCAAGTTTGAAACTAATGCCTGAAATGTAGCTTTATCTGTTTTACAGACATTAATAATATAATCCTGCTGAGTCCTGTTCATCCTGTGACTGAAGGAGATCCTGTTACTCTGAGCTGCAGAAATAAAACACAACAACTTCTCCCCAACGTGTTTTTCTATCATAATGATAAACTCCTCCATAATGACAGCAGAGAGGAGCTGAAGATCTCTGCAGTGTCAAAGTCAGATGAAGGTTTCTACAAATGTCAACATTCAGGAAAAGATTCACCAA